TTTTTTTTTTTTTTTGTAAATATGTATATGTGTAAAACACCTTTTTTTTTGAATATATGTGTATATGTATTATATATTTTTTTCTTTCACCACTTTTTATATTGTTTGCATCACCAGCTTTTTTTAGTAGTTTTTATTTTTATTTTATTTTTTTTTCCAAATATGGTTATATGCTTTGCTTTATTTTGCACTGTTTAGCACCAAATTTTTTAGTTTATTCTATAATTTTTAAGTTTTTTCGATCGGGGGTACGTAGATTTGTTTTTTGTTTTTAACCGCAGTGGCTGTGTACCTTAGTTTGGCTCATTTTTAGCCTCGAAGGACCAATGTTCAAGTCCACAAGGACTTAAGGGGAAGTAAGGGGATGCCGGCTGTCGAGTTTAAATAAAAAAAACACTTTTTTCAATTTTAAAATTGTTCACAAATTTAATAAAAAGAAATTCACTTTATTTATTTTCACTTAATTTACTTTTACAAATTATTTAATTTAACTATTTTTGATAAATTATTTAATGTAAGAGACCGCGGTTTAAGGCTGCCGTGCGCGAGCGAGGGTTGTTCGGTTTAGAGTGTTTTTTCGTTAGCTCAAACGGCCGCCGCTAAGCGGTCGATCGGCTAACGAAATTTGGCCACAAAGGATAGAGGAATTGGCGCGTGATGGGGCACACGGAAATAGTGGGAAGAGACGGGGAATCCACGCGCACGGCAGTTACATTTATTTATATGTATCGCTGTTTAAGCAGACGCTTAAACAGACTGTAATATATACTTTGTTGTTGTTTACCATGTAGCTGTGAAATACAACATAGCGAGGTATGTTTTTTTAATATTCTATTCTATAAGCTGTATCCGTCTACTTTTTTATTGCTTGCGTTAACGTCAATTTATGCTATGCACATAAAAATGAGAAAAAATTAATTTTTCTCAATCTCTCGTGCTAATTTTGTATTGTTAATTTTTCACTATCAAACAGTCAATATTACACAATATGACATGCAGCGTGTATTGAAATGTGACATAAAAAATAAGACATAAGCCAAAGCTTGTGAATTTTCTAATCGTCTAATTGTCTAATCACACGCTACAGTTTTTATAGTAAAATTTTATATATTTGAACATTTTTTTCCCTGAATAACATTTTAAATGACTAGATAAATTTTATATTTAGCAACAATATTTAAACAGCATTTTATTGAATAAATTTTGTGCTTTTGTTAAGTAATATTTTGATAACAATCAAGCCAAATTAATGTCTCGCACTCAAATACAACATTTTTTGGCTATTTTTTCAACAAATTACTCACCACCGTAAATTTGGTATTTATAACGATTAATTCATTGAAAACTTTGTGATGTTGAAAATCTGCAAACTTTCATTAACTTTTTTAAACAGAGATATCGATTCGGTTCCGAAAACAAACGTAAATAAAATTAATTTTGCAATGAAATTACTTTTTTATTATAAAGTCTGAACTTCAAAATTAAATACATGATTCAAATAATTGTATCATAAATTTTGGTAAACAACCGTTTAATCTAATTTTCGATAAATTTTTGGCATAAATGGAGCAGTAATTCAGCCATAACTCGACGAATTTAGGATTTCGAAGCTTCAGAAAAAAAGTCCAACGATTTCGCGGTCGGAAAATTTATATCGAAATAAAACAATATTCGCTCATCAATTTGTTGAACTCATATATTGTTAAATTCGTGTTGTACAATTTGAGGCCGAAAAAAGTCACATAAACAGTGACAGTCTCGCCGTTGTCGTTTTTAAAGAAGTAAGGCCCGATCACACCTCCTAGCCATAGAGCGCTCCACACAGAATTTTTTTTTGTTATAGCGACATCTCTTCAATTATATAAGAATTGTCGGAATCGCGACAGTTTTGCTTACTTGCGAATCCTGCTATTGAGAAATGTGTCGCGCCTCTTTTCATATTTCGTCAATTTAAGAGCTCTAAGCTCTATTGCTTACTCATTCTGATCTAGTTTTGAATCAATATATTCTTCTAATAGTATTGTATGGCTTTTCGTAATGAAAATACTTATCCCTGAACAACGTTTGCAAATCGTTTAGCTTTATTACGAAAATTCAAGTTCTGAAAAGAATGTGTTTCGTATACGTCGTTCAATTTATAATCAACATAATCGGCCTACTGAGCGAACTATTTGACACACGATCACCCATCTTGACACCCAGCACTCATCATTGGATAATATTCGACCAAATAGATTACGTCCAGTACGCAGTGAAGAAAATTTAGCGGTCATTGCTGAGAGCGTACACGAGGCATTGGAGATTCAATTCTGTGCCGTTTGCAGCAACTTGGAAAGACATATGGAAGGGCTTGGCGCATTTTACAATAAGATCATAAATTGAAAGTATACAAAATACACCTTTTGCAAGAACTGAAGCCAGGTCGACGATTTCAAGCAAAATTGTGGTCAGCGATGAATACCATTTCTGGCTCAATGCGTATTGAAACAAGCATTTGCAATTATAATGTTTATTATAAAAAAACCAAATAAAAAAAATTGTTCATACTTTCGAAATTCATAAATTGCATCACAGCATGTCATCGACTAATAAACTGCTAGAAGATTATAAATCTTTACTTCCCTTTATTTAGTAGACGATAGTTTGACCCTAAATACCATAATTTTAATATGGCCAAAATATATTTTATCAACCCGATTTGTATGAATGTAAATGTTTAATTTTCGTCGGTCTTTACTTTTAAGAGCTTTACTTATGCTTTTTTTAAATTACCTTCCATTACCATGCAAAGTACTTTCTTTCGATGGCTCTTGGAGTTGACACCCAAGCGGCTTAAAATTCCAACTGTAAGCAGCAAATATTTAATTGTCAAAAGTTGTAGGCACTTCAGTAATGGAAATACTTACTCAGGGGGCTTATTTCCTGGCATGTTGCTATTACTGGTGGAAAGGTGGACAACAATAAATTAATTTTCCCTCCTTAATTTTTTCCTTTCTTTTTGACCACAATCGACTTGTTACGTTAGGTGAGTTTCCTTGTCTTGTTGTCACTGGAGTGGATGTTGTGAAAACAAATTTTGAGCCAAAATTTGTACCGGAAATTTTTATGAGACTATTTGAAGTGTAATAAAATGCTACGATATACCGAAAAAGATTTTTTTAGTAGTTTAGAACAGTGGTTTGCAAAATTCAGTTTTGTAAGCAGATACCCTTTTACAATATACACTACCATTCAATAAATTAGACGTACACTTACTTTTCTTATCAAGAGCTTTTCACACAAAATATTTCAAAAATTGTTGCACACTAAATACAATTTTATATTTTTAAATAAAAACTTTAAATTATTAATTAATAATAATTTTTATTTGTTTAAACGCCCTTTAAAACTTTGATAATTTTTTGTAAGACTGTGAAATAGACGCAGACATATATTTTTACAAAGAAAAACATGGTAACTTCAACATTTTTAAAAAAAATATCGTTAAAAACAATAAGAGAATATTGCTTTTCCTCTTCATAACCTTTGCGTGACTTCCAAACCCATACGATTTCGATATCGTTAAGGTCTGGAGAATGAGGCGACCAAAGTATTAACTCCACGTTTTGGTTCACTATATACGAATTTACAACCCCGGTGTTGTGAAAAGGAGCATTTCGATTGGATGCATGGAGAATCCATTCATAGTTTGATCACCAAAAAATGTCGACAATGGAGTAAAAAGTAATTGCTCGACTATAATGACAACTAAAAAAAGTTATTCGTTCCTTAAGTCATGAAAATAAAACAATTATAATAATAACAATAACTTTTATAATTTTTGGCCGCTGTGCTAAATGTGTCTATACTATTGGCCTACTTAAAGCACGTGTAGTTGTAATAGTATTGAGGTTATGTTCAACTTAAAAAGCTCCCAATAGCGATTCCGATTGCCAGTTGAGTTGAAGCGATTTTCGGCTGAGTTCCTCCTCCAATTTATGGTAATCTGATGGATTTTCATGAGGAGCCCTTATTTTAATTTAAAAATACACTCGGAGAGATTAGCGTTCTCTGTCGAGGTGCAACCGCAATTAGAAACAATAACTTATTTTTTAATTTAACTTAAATTTGTATAATATTTGGATTTTTATTGGACTAGGTCTCGAACCTCGATTTTCTCATTAGCAAAACGAAATGCTACCCAATCGGATATCCTTGCCGTCTGCATTTATATTTTTACAAATACTCATAGATATGTATTTACGTTGGATATGGTATATTTAAATACAGTAATAAACGTTGAGGTGAAAATGTAGCAACTCGAAATGAAATTTGCGGGGCTAATTGACATTTGAAGTGGTTATTTTTAATTGTTGCAGTTTGGGGCAAGTCTCGAAATTAAGCCGTCAACACATTTTGGACATTGTAAATGGCTCTAATTGCATGGAAATAAGTCAAAGTAACCACCACAGTGATTGGCGAGTGCGTTGCTAAGGTATGCGTTGCCAAGGTATGCAACTACACGCATATAAATCCATACATACATACATGACATTGTGAAGTACTCTATCTGTATATCTCTTATTTGTCAGTAATTATTTACTTGCGTAGTTGGAATGCACAACCTTCTGAATGCTTGTCATTATTAAAACCACATAAATCACTAATTACTCCAACTGATTCTAGTGGACTAATCGACCGACCTTCCGGCAGTGGCATATACATACTCGTACACACAAAAATTTCGTTGTTTGAAAACAGAGATACACGGCGCCCAATAGGATAAGAGTGCTATACTATTGTATTGTATTTGAAAAGAACTGTTTCAACGTACATGTCATGTGTGTTATGGGAACTGACATTTTGCGTATTTCTTTAAGAAGAGAAACATTTTTATTTGAAAATTTGTATAAAAATAATAATCCAGGGTTCAAATCCTGATTCAACCAACATCCAAAGATGATTTTTATAATTTAAGCGGCCCCTCCGCAAGGAATGTCAAACCCTCTGAGTGTATTTCTGACATGAATTAATAAAGCTCCTCATAAACAACGTTCGGAGGAGGCTCAGTAAAGGATGATTTTTTCAGCTATTATCTTTTTGGCAACACTGCTTCAAACAGCTGATTATTAAAATGCGTGCTCTGTTAAGAAAGTGCATCGCGCGATTCTTCCGTGTGCGCTTCGAAGCTAATTTTTTGATTAATGGGTGCGAAGATAAGCAGAATTGTCGATTTTGAAGTGAAAATCAGTCAGAAGCATTGTGAGAGCTGCCAATGCATGCAGAAAATTTTACAGTTTGGTGCGGTTTAAGGGTTGGTGCCAATTGGACCGTACTTCTTCAAAGATGATGCAAATCGTAATATAACTGTGAATAGTGAACACTACCGTGAGATGATATCAAATATTTTTTTTACTCAAAATGCAAGAACCTGACTTGCATGACACGTGGCTTCAAGAAGACGGTGCCACGTGTCACATAGCACTAGTAATAATATACTTATTGAGAGGCGAGTTCGGTGAGCATTTTATTTCACGTTCGGACCCGGTCAATTGGCCGCCAAGATCGTGCGATTTAACACCTTTAGACTATTTTTGTGGGGCTATATTAAATTTAATGTCTGCCTGCTTCAATTGGCGCATTGGAGGACAACATTGAAGCTTTTATTCGTGGGATGCCGGCCGAAATGTTGGAAAGAGTATGCCAAAATTGGACCAAGCAGCATTTGCGCGCAGAGGCGGTCACCATTTGCATGAAATAATGTTGAAAACATTTAATTATATTGATCGTACTATCAATTTTAAATAAAGATTTCATGCATGTTACTGAGTTTTATATGGTTTTTTTTTGAAAAACTCTCCTATAGCTCTTAAAAAATCACCCTTTATTAACTGTGGGTTCCGCCATTTATTGGATAAAGCATCCAGATACATACCAAAAATCGGATGATGAAGCGCCAAAAACATATAATTGCAATTAGTTCAATAATTACTAAAGAATGCAGATAAGTTTGACATTGATTTGTTTTATAAAAGCTCATACCTTATGGATGTGAAGTATTTCGTGGGTGAGCGATATGATCCAAACAAATACTTTATATTTCCAAAAATAGTAAAATTTTTTTTTGTAAGAAGCTCAAACGCATATAATTTCTAAACAAAATAATCGTAGAAAAAAGTATTAACAAATAGCGAATCTTTTTTAATTCGTCATATATCTCATATAGCTTATCATTCCATCGGCTGCGGTATGCGCCGTTCTCTACCCTTAGAGCACCATAAATTGCATGTCACACAATGTTGGGAACAATAACTTTATAACTTGACTCGACTTGCTCATGAGATGACAAAATAGGCAAATGAAAAGGTAGCTCTACTTGGATCACCCATGCTAAACGAAGAATGTAAGTGTGAGCTATATATAACGCTACTAAAATAAACACCTAATAAACATGTTTAGACCCTACAAATAATGATAACAGCATTTATGGATTCAATGGTGATATTTCTGGACTTGTGAGCCTAAAAAAGACCACCATATCCCTATTCTAAAGATTGTATTGTAGCTCACTTCACTGTAGGGGACTTCTGTAGCAAATTTGTTTAATAAATATTTAAGAAATCAGTTAATTACGTTCGAGTAAACTGCAGTGATTCTTCCTATCATTGACATAAAAAATGTATTCTTATTGTAAGTATCGGACAACATGTTAAACCACTGCACAAAATGTTTACTCGTTTAGTATGTGTGTTAACATAAGACCTTATTCATATACCCGCTTGCTTCATACCTGAGCAGTCGCAGTACAAATCTATCGGCCGTTCAGATGATGCTTAAAATAAACTGTAGATCCCTCTATTTATTGGAGGAGGAGCTCAGCCGAAAATCTTTTCAGCTGTTGCAAAGCACCAAATTATTATATTATTTGAACTAATAACGTGTGCAGAATTTAAGTTATATAACAAAAACTGAAAGCCAAATGAGAGGATTAGCCATTCCGTGGTACAGGAGTGTCTCAGCTAGGCATCAGGATTATACCAGTCTCTCCTCAAATATTACTACTGTGTATAAATAGTTCACCTCACACAACAAATTTAGCCAACTGACCATTCACAACGTCGATTTTGCAACAAGTTTATAGAATAATTGAAGACGGGCCATACACCCAAAAATATAATTTCACATGCCACAAAACACAAGCGAATAAAGCTTTATTTGCGGTAATAATTTACCGGCCGCGTGATCTCTCGTCTAGATGATGTCAATAGGCCACCGACTACACAAAATAAAGTTTTCATGCGGATAAAATTTTAATTCTTGAGCTTTGGAAAAATTAGCGAAGCGGTAATTAGAATGATGTAGTGTTTCACTTATCAGTATTAGATGTAAAGTGTCTATATTGTCTAGTACCAAAGTTAATACACGAACTCATTTTAATGAAATGTTTAAAAAACGAAGGCGTCGCACAGTCTGCAACTTTTATAACGTAAAATGATGGGCTTGGATGCAAAATGATTATGTTGTGCAGACAATTATATTTTCTATAACTCTGCAAAATACGGAAATAACCGTGATCATATAAATAAAGTTATTCACTTTGGATTTCAAATGTAAACGGAAAGTTTTCTCGGTAAAGAAAGGCAAATACAAACAGAATTCTAAGAACAGCAAATGGCTTAGAAAATTATAAAATACCGATTTTTTTGGTTTCTTAGTTTACTGGCTGATGCTGGTTGCCGATAAAAGGGCAAACGTGAGCTATTTATATATAAGTAGCCAGTGCTCCTTGCATTTACGAGTCTTTACAAAAAAGGCAAAAGGTAAATAAGCATTTGGCCGGCTGCTGCATTTCTTTTTTACTTTATTAACATTAAAATAAAATATGAATGGGAAAAGTTCAACACAATGACAAAACACTTTATTTTTAAATGGTCTATTTACGAATTTAGTAAAAGAGATGTTGTCTGTAAAAATAGTATATACGAGTATTCAGTGGCCCAAAGAAGTTTGCTTCACCTTTGTTCAACTATTTATCTTCCTCGCATAATTCAAATTGTGCTGGGAAAGGACGATCCACTGGACCCTGCGCGGCTTTTCTAAAGGTTTACACTGAATAATAACACTTGAACTAGAAAAATCAAGGAGGAAATAAATTTATATTTTAAAGCCGGTCCTTACCCTCAGTAGCATGAAAATTAAAACGCATGATGGCATGTTCGAAATCAGAGAAATTTGCAGATATATCTCCTCCTGTTTCATTCACTGAAAACACTTTGTGGTCCTTGTGATGCAAGTCCCTCAC